AGTTCTGTTCATCTATTGATTTGATTTCGAAGAGAAGAAAGAAAGATTCATCAAATGATTCAAAATAAAATCACAAATGAATATTTCTCATCATAGTTCTGTTCACTTATTGATTTGATTTCGAAGAGAAGAAAGAAAGATTCATCAAATGATCCAAAATAGCATCACAAATGAATATTTCTCATCATAGTTCTGTTCATCTATTAATTTGATTTCGAAGAGAAGAAAGAAAGATTCATCAAATGATCCAAAATAGCATCACAAATGAATATTTCTCACCATAGTTCTGTTCATCTATTGATTTGATTTCGAAGAGAAGAAAGAAAGATTCATCAAATGATTCAAAATAGCATTACAAATGAATATTTCTCATCATAGTTCTGTTCACCTATTGATTTGATTTCGAAGAGAAGAAAGAAAGATTTACCAAATGATCCAAATTAACATCGCAGATGAATATTCTTCACGATAATACTGTTTGCGTACTCATTCGATGTTGAAGGTAGGACAATACAAGTTGTTAGTTGATGAAGAATGGCGCGATAAAAAGATTTTCTATACGGCAAGTTGCATGGTTTTACTCTTCTACACTAATCGACGATCTTGCCCTATTCTTTCCAGGTTCTTGTTTTTCTTGGTTTTCAGACAAGATTCTTTTCCCATTCCTTATATACAAGATTCTTGCCTGAAAAAACTGATCTTGCCTTTCTGACAAGATTCATGTAGACCGAATCTTGGCTGGTGAGGCAAGAAATTCTTCTCCAGACAAGATTCTTGTATTCTTGCTTTCTTGCCTGATTCTTTTTTTCTTAGATTCTTGTCTGTTTCTTATTTCTTGTGTTTCTTGCCTGATTCTGGTCACATTAAAAAAGCCTTTTTGTAGATTCTTATCACTCTCTTTTTCATATCATTTTATTATAAGCTTTGCACACCATGTACAAAAACATGTAAAAAAAACAAAAAATACTTTTAATTTCGCATGTTATTAAAGCAGTTTCAGTTTTTAACACAAAAAATAGACAAAACTTTCATTAATACTAGATGAATATTAATGTAATTCATTCTAAAAAAAAAGAATAGTGTAAAAATTTTTATTTTGAGCTGACTCGATTAAAATAAGTTATTTACAATTTGTTCAACTAGTAAACAATGTATAGATAATTGAGTACGATGATGCTGATCTTTTTTCTTGGCACGCCGTCAACGTTGTTTATCTGTATGTGGTGATAACTCTAAAACAGATAATATATAAGTCAAAAAGATATAAAGTACATATAGATATTACCTATATTACCAAGAGCATTATCAAATAATAATTTTTTTTAACGAATTGAGATTTTCTTCGTCCATTAAAAAAACTGCTTTTGTGGATAATGAAAGACAATCTAAAAAAATAAAATAAAAAGTATTGATTGGTAAAATATCGAAATATGTTCAATAAGTGTAAGTTTTCTGAAAACAATAGAAAAAAAAGATATCATATATTCCATTGTTTGCTCGATATCGAAAGGAAACTATTTTTATACATTCAATTGAAAATGAGTTGCTAGATGTTGTTTGAATGAAATGAACGCTTTAGGAAAAGTACATATTCAAAGTGAATCATACTACCTATTGAATCAATAATGAATAGATAACGTTCAGAAATTGCCTTTATATATTTGATTATACAAAGACAACATCACGTGGCGTTGATCTTGAAAAGCTGACAAGAATCTTTTTCTTTCCTATCATAAGAATCTTGTCTGAATACTAAGAAATTTAAAATATCTTGTACTTCTTTCCAGTTTCTGTTTTTTCATAATTTTTAGACAAGATTCTTTTAATCTTGAACTTCAGACAAGATTCTTTTTAAAAGAAAAGAAAAAGATTCTTGTCTGAACATTAAATACATCTTGAATATCTTATCATTCTTCTCTGATTATTTTAATTCTAATTAATCAGACGAGATTCTTGTCATCTTGTAATTCAGACAGGATTCTTTTTACTTTCCTGTTGAAAAGAATCTTACCTGAATACAGGAATCTTGTCTGAAAGTAAAGAAAAGCAAGAACCTGGAAAGAATAGGGCAAGATCGTCGATTAGTGTATTTAGATCATTTCTCTTGACAAAATAGTGATTATACCTAATTGTCAAAGATTCCATAATTTACGAATTTCTACTGGTATCGTTCAAAAATTATCTTACCAATTNAGAAAAGCAAGAACCTGGAAAGAATAGGGCAAGACCATCATCATTATATTCTTTTGATTTTTACGCATAAATATCAAAACGTTGCTCGTGAAAACGAATAGAATATCATGTAACAAATAAATATTCATAACGACGAGTCCAACCAGAATAATACCAATCAACGTGATCTTAGACAATTTCATTCATTTTGATGAAAATTTTTACAAACTATAAGAGTTGTTGTGAATGACATGTTTGATGGAAACTCCTCAGAACATTTGCCACATTTTGGACAAGCATGGCCATTACAGGGAAGTTCCGTCTTTATACTGGATGCCATTGACTGTTGTTCTTCTAAATGAATAGCTTCCTTATTATGT